TTAACCGTTATATATTCTCCGAGCAAATATATAGTGGATTTTAACTGTTATATAGTTGCTAACTATATAGCTTTTATTTCTAAAAAAGCGCTATATAGTTGACATTATATAGTGGTTATTTTCAAATAGGGGCTGCATTTCTAGCAGCCCCTCCATTATATTTTATTTTTATTTTTTCCTTTTAAATTCTTGAGCGAAGTAGATTAAAAAAATAGAAAAACAATGATTATAATAGTAGAAATAATATCTAGGTATAAAAGTAACAATAATTGATGCTAGGGTTTTCCATTTAATAATTCAAATGCAAAATAAAATATAAAAACTTTAAATATGGGAAATCAAAGAAGCATCTTCATGAAAAAGACAAACTTAAACCAGTACCACATAGATTTGAAAAACCAAAGATCTAAAACCAGAAACTACAAATCATGGTTGCAAATTTGGAATATTAGCATTCCATTTAACAATATAACAGGGACGATGATGTGATAGAGTTGAATGAGAGTGATGCCAACAAATTCAAGTACCACACAGACTAAACGATGGCACACGATACTATGAATGCGCATAAAATGGAGGAGAAGGGATGGACATCACACTAGAGATTATGGGCAAAGTTAATCATGTGAGTGTTGAAGACGAAGACTTAAATTTTAATGTGAGAGAGATGCTTAAGGAACAGAGATAGTTCAATGTGACATAGAGGAGTGAGATTGCATGAGAGAGAGGAGGGTTGAGTATCATGAGGATGAAATGTGAGGGATGGATTTGACCGTGGACAATGAAAATGAGAGAGAGAACGAGTATGTATGCCATTGGATAAAAAAAATCAATGGTTTAAATATAATGATATCATCAATCCATGTATTATATAAAATGTGTGTGTTTTAAAAGTTTTTGGATTCAAATAACTATATAGCAATTCTTTTAAATAATTGCTATATAGTCACTGACTATATAGCGATTATGGAAAGTATCCCTATATAGTCTCTAGGAAAATAATTCAAAAAGAAAAAAGACTATATGTTGATTATTTTTAGCTAACCACTACATAGTCTCAAGACTACATGATGATTATCTTAAAAAAAACTACTATATAATCTTTAACTACATGATAGTTATTTAGAAAGAACCGCTATATGATCTCTTAACGGTTCTTTTTAAAGTGGTTATTTAGAAAGAACCACTATATAGTTAAAAAAAAAAGAAATTATATAATGATTCTTTAAAATAATTGTTATATAATTTCAAGATTATATAACAGTTATTTTAAATAATTGTTATAGAGTCGCTTTTTTGAATCTCACTTCAATTATATGGCAATTTTTTCAATAACTATTATTTAAAATATGTTATATATAGCCTTTTTTTTAATACTTATATGAATAGAATTGGATGAGTACATAAAACAATTAGGCTATGTTTGTGGTTGCCATTTTTATTTAAGCACTTGGTTTTGGGAATTCCACAATTGGTTTTGACGCATGCATTTAATACGTGATTGAGAATTCATTAGTTTTATTCGAAGTTAAATTAAGGGAGAATGACAATTGAGAACCTGCTAAGAATATTAATCTCAATTACGGATCGTGAAATCTTGAAATTCTAGTTAAGAACCATGGTCCTTAATTGTGATAAAAAAATGTAATTTGTGAAATGGGATTCACTAACGCGATTTGGGAATTCACTAACCTAACTTGAGAAAATTACTAATGTATATTGTGAAAACATGAAACCCCACTTGAAAATGGAATGTTTAACAAAAAATGTCATTTAGAAATTCACTAACTAGACTTGAAAAAATTTCTAACGTATATTGTGAAAAAATGAAACCCCACTTAAGAATCATTAATAAAAAGTAATTTGTCCAAATTGGTGTTTTTTATTAAACAATCAATTTTCAAGTGGAGTTTCATGTTTTCACAATATACGTTAGAAATTTTTTCAAGTCAAGTTAGTGAATTTTTAAGTGACGCTTTTTGTTAAACATTCTATTTTTAAGTGTGGTTCATGTTTTCACAATATACTTTACAAATTTTCTCAAGTTGGGTTAGTGAATTTTCAAGTGGTAATAATGAATTTCACCTCATAAATTACATTTTTTTATCACAATTAAGGATCATGATTCTCAATTGAAATTTTAAAATTTCACGGTCCATAATTAGAATTAATATTCTTAAAAGGTTCTTAATTATCATTCTCCATTAAATTAATATGAAATGAAAGTAGTTTCATCTCTAAAGTTGTAAAAGCATGCTTCGAACGTATGCTTTAATAAATTGTGGCTGCAATTAAATCAACTCGTGTACTTGTAATTAAAATAAGATATTAATGCTGCTACAAATGGCTTCGTGAAATGTGCAAATGGTTGTGCTTAAAAGTTAAAACAAACAAAAAGTTAATGCTACTTCAATGCAAAGCCAATTCCCCACTGGTGTTTAGAATCACTTTTGAAGCCAAGTGATAAATGATATTAATGGTAAATTATCTAATCACAATTGAAGACGTTTGAAATAAGGTTTTAATTGTTTCCTTGTAAATTTAATGATATTTTTTGTAATTTGACAAAGCATCATGAGCTTGCACAAACAGTAAAGCCTCTCCTTCTCTTCCATTAACCACTCTTTTTATAATAATATTTAGGAATAATAAAACTTTCAACTTCTCAAATTTATTTCTATTATTAATTTGGTCTATCAAATTTAATTTTTATAAGTTTAATCTCTTATATTTTTTTTAAAAATTATCATGTTATTCCTTTAATTGTTTTAAACATAAATAGATTTTTAAATTAATTTTATTTGTAAAATATGTTCATTACTTGGCATGTATATATAATTAAATAAAAACAATTAAACCCTCAAATCAATTTAAATCTATCAAATTAACTAGTCCCTTATGCTATGTTCTATCTTTTGTTTTTTTTAATAATTTTGGAGCCTTTTTTTTAACTTAAATAATTACAATTCTCTTCATTAATCTACATCACTACCATCGGTATTTTGTTATCCATATAATAGATTTTAATAGTGTTACTTCTTCATTAAACAATAATCATTAAATAAATAATTGACTAATTGTGATAAATTTAAAGGACCAACTAGATAAAAATTAAATTTGAAGGATTAAATTGATAACTCAAAAAAAACTTAAGAGACTAAAAATTTTATTATCCCAAATATTTATATCCATTTGATTAATAAAAGTATGATTGAAATATTGAGATGTTTTAAAAAACATAATTTTTTTAAAATTGTGTAAAAAATATCTCAAAAACTATATATAAGAAATAAGAGGGAGTAGTTGTTAGGAGTGAAATTAAATAAAAAATTTAATTGTTCATTGAAATTAAAAAATTGTTATTAATTTCCATCTTTAATATATGATACCTACATTTTAATCATTTAGATCCAGCCCATGTGACTTAAATTATTTGATGAGGAAGTAGTGCTCACTTTATATTGTGATATCATCCCTTCCTGTTATTCCATCTTATTTTATCTAGAGAAGTTTTGTATTTTATTTTATAAGCCATCATATCGTGGATTATTTATTATAATTTTTTTCTTTTACCTTTATTTAATGTTGATGTGAGAAAGTACAAGTTGTTTTAAATAATGCATTTAATATGAGTAAAGTGAAATTTTTTCTTTGATTTTTTTAGAGTTAACGAATTTTGATGTTTTCCTCATTTAATATTGATGTAGGATTAAATGAGACCCAAGGAATTATAAAATGCCTTTAGCCATCTCACTAAAACAAAATAAAAGGTACTTGAGTTATTACTTCTATTTAAAAATAAATTTTTTTACCTATACTTAAACCCATGAATTGCATCTATCCATAAGACATACTATAAAATGGCATTAAACTTTAATGGGGTAATTTTTTTTTATAAATATAAAAAGTAAGATTTGTCGATAGCAGGGTATCTTTCCCGAGATATGGCAAATAATATACCCCGACAATGGGATAGATTTTTTACATGCATGTATAGAAATTTATGTTTTAGCCTTTAAGTTTATTTTGATTTTTTTAATTTTATAAGAAATCTTTTTCAATTCTTTAATTTTAATATTATTATTTTCATAAATAGGAAATAACTATATTAAATTTTTAAAAATTGACAAAACATTCTCTTGATATATTAATTTTAATTTCTTAAAATAATAATGAGAGGTATGGAAAATTATTATTTTAGATTAACGGTATTAGAATTAGAGGATTAAACAATATTTTATAAAATTAAAAATTAAATTAAATTTTTATATAAAATTAGAAGAGAAAAACATATCTTTGCCTTTATTTATCTGTTAAGAAGATTATTAAGTTAAATTTCAATTCACGTAAGATGTCATATGTCTCTCTTAATATGCCAGTAACATAACATGAAAAATTGAGAGCGAGAGACATGGGTCCATGTCAAAATACAGAGGTTATATATAATATAATATAACTCAGTTAGAGTAGTATATTTTAGCCATTTATATTTATAATTTCGCACTCATTCTTAATTCTAAAAAAACTAAATAACATACTATAGATTTTGTATCGCTGAATTATATAATAATTCAAAAGTTCACAAAAAAGAGTAAAATTCAATAAAAATGAATTAATTCATGTTAAAAATTATTTTCATAAATTTATAAATTCTGAATAATTATTAATGAATTTTGAAAATCAAATCATTATCTTTTTTATTTGTGCGTCAAAAGAATTCCAACTCTTCACAATTTAATATGTATACGCCATTACCCAAGCCTTAAAATCTTTGACAAAAAAAAAAACTTAAAATCATTTATAAATTAAATTAAAAATAAAAATTGTAAAATTTGACATGCTCGCGAGGATTTATCTGTCGATTTTTCCTTTCTTACCTCCGAAGTAAGACTTTTATGACTGTTTTTTTTTTTTTTTTGTGTGTTAAAAAGGAAAAAAAGTCGAAACGAAGAACGAGACAAGCGAAGTAAATCAAAGAGTCGACGGAGGGGGAGGGAGGGGGAGAGAGAAATGAGTCACGCCTCTTTCTACGTGTTGGCCTTCATGGCAGAGTTGGCAACCTATAAAACAGGAACGCCACCTTCACTTCTCTCCCTCACTGATCACCCCACAGTACAATCTCTGTAAAAAGCCTTGGAGGCTGTGCCTCTTTCTTCTCCTCCCTCCAATTTCTACCTCTCCAATCCATCACCATTTCTCTTCTTCGCTCTGCGATTCGCCTCCAACACCACAGTCCACACCTATGGGTGTGTCTTTCGAGGTCGCAAGAGTGGGTACAAGGTACAAGCCCAAGCTGCTTCCAATTGACGACAAAGCCGACGACGCTCCGTTAGTAAATGATTCTCAGCCCAGCAGCATCCCGGTATGTGTCGTCGTTAGATTATTTGACATTTAGGTTCGCATTTTGTTGGTTTTTGCGATTTTTGAACTATGAATGGCATTTCAGTAGGGGGATTAAGCTTGGTCGTGTGAATATTAGTTCAAGAGATGAAACGGTGTTTGATTAGATGCACTCCGAGGGCCTGAGGTGCAGGGGCTTGATGCTTTTGTCTGATCATGTTCTTCGATTGGTTGGATGATGGTGCCATGAGAGTTCATTCTTCTTTAGTTGATTAAATCAACGAAAAAAATCACATGCTGTGACATAGTTTATAATATTGGCCAGTATATGGGATGATTGTTTACCTTTTTGTAACGGTTTCTCAAATATAAAATTTTATTACAGTAATACTGGTTGCAAGCAGCAGCTTTTGCGTGATTCTCTTGAACAGTAGAGCTTTTCAGATTTAAAAAGAAAAAAAAAACAGAGAGGGAATCACTGCTCAGTTCTTTTGGGTGCATGGGCTATCAAGGCTTGGGTCACGGGACTTACAGGGAAGATGAGGGTTTTGACTATTTTCGTCCCCATCGTTTAGAGTCTATAGGATCAGGTCCTGAGGTCCCTCAACACTGTTCCCACATCACCAATTGTTATCAATAAGTCGAAAAGCAAAAGTTCTGTTGAAATCATCTTTTCACCGAATAACAACATTAAACTGGCACCACTTTATCTATTTTTTTTCTTTGCTTTTTTAATCATTTATTGTTTTATTCTCTTTTCTTTTCTGTTTAATTTATATAAAAATGAATGCGGGGCTTTCTCTTGTTATATCAACATGAAATTCATCATCCTCGCAGGGAAATTTTTAACAGAATATTTTTCCATTTAAATAATCGTTAAAGGTTAATATGGCTAAAATGTGTTAAAATTGAAGTGTGAGAGATAGAAAACGCTTGGTCCCCCAGCACTGGGGGTTAAAATTGTCTAAAGGTTGGGACTATTACCAGAAAAGGGATATAGTTGCTGAAATCTAAGGGGCGGGAAGCAAAATATCATTTTTCTTTCTTCTTAGCCTGTTTGAGTTGCATGTGGAGCAATTGAACTAAATTTGCATGTTTCGGGTACTTTTCAAGGAAAATATGTCACCACTCACCAGTCACCCCACTTAAAGCATATGGGAAGAAAAATTCACGTCTCCCCCTCAACACTCTGAATATTGAATTTGTATTCATTTATATCGGGGTCGTTTAGTTTAATCTATTAACAACTTTGTATAGTCATTTTGGAATTCACAATTATGCAATGGCTCCAGAAATTTTAAAGAACTCTCTAAAAGTCATTCTCTCACCTGTGCAAATTGAAGTTCATACTATCTACCTAAAAGAAAATAATTTCCGTCTATTCTATCCTGTTGGTGAAGGCATCTTCTTTGTACAGACCACAAAATACCAAGTTGTTCTTACTATTTGATCTGTTTTAGTTTAATTTTCTGTCAGCATTACGGGGAATATGTTGAGCTAAGAGATCTTTTGACATTTTATTCTAGAATTTCTTTTCTCCTCCCTGCTTGATGCAGTGCATGATGAGTATCGTTCATAGTTTCAGCTACTTTTTTAATGTTTCCCTGCTTTATTAGATTGGGAAATCAATATACTTGTACTAAATGCATCACTATGCTCAAAAAAATAATTCGTGGGTTTGCAATAAATCTTACTTTATATGATAGTATATGAGAAATTTGATATTAGACATTTTGACATGGGGAAACTTACCTCAGATAGGAGCTGAAATTGTTGGTGGCTCAAATAAGAAGCACAATAATGTATGGCACTCAACCTCAGAAGGTAATGTTGATACTTATATTGTACAGCGATCTATTATTATGTAAGCATTCATTTTCATAGTTTGCTATCATGCAGAACTTGAGGTGTCCTTCTCACTGAATTTATTCAAAGATGGATTTTCTATGGCAAAAGGTGACAAGGTCAGTATCTCAAGAGTTAAAACTTGAGCATTTTGCATGTTTGGTATTTATATTGCTTGTTTCTACTTCTGGAATTTAATCCTTATTGTTGATTGTTGGTTTCTGCCTCTGCAGTTCCTGAGTGACGTGCCAAAGCAATTGCTTCCATATGATAAAGCATCAGAGACACTTTTCTCTGTAAGCATCAAAAGATATATTTATCTCAATTCTGATTGACCAGAATATATATATTTGATCCTAGTATGCTATATTTCGTCTTAGCAAAGGCTAAATGGATCCTCCCTACCTGCCTGCTTACTTCTAAGCAAAAATGGCATTTTAACATGTTAATTATTCACTAATATATATGAACTCAAATGAAACTTGAGGCATTTTCAAATATATACACTGCATATTATGATAAAAAACATAGATATATAAATCCACAATAACTACTCACTCAGTGCCCTTCATCTTGTACGTCATAAACCTCCATAACAACCCTGGCCATGTTTTATTTGAAATGTTTCTCAAGGTATAGGGGAAAATGGTGTAACTCTGCTTAGGTTCTTTTCATATGAAGTCAAATGTTCCCATTCATAGGCCTGTGTCAATTAGTATTCTTGCTTATGATGCTCCGTTCCACATATTATGCACTTTTATAGTTCAGAACGTATCTTTCTTTATCTAAGTAGAGCATTATTACATGAAATTTTAGCTAGGGAAATTCCTACCACACTATGTCAGCTTAACCAAACATAATCTTTAACCAATTGAAGTATTAAAACACACAACAGTTGACATTTGTAGGGATAAGAAATAAATTCAAAATGAAATTTATACTCCTCCTGTTCTTTTTTTTTCTTTTGTTGAAAAAGGTTCTTTACGGTTATAATGTTCTAGTGTTGTTAGAATGTGATGTGCACTTCCCTTGGTTTACGTTTTCTCGTTTTGCCATGTTTCTTTCACGCATCAGGCCATTGAGTATGGTTGGTTACCTGGAGATATTCTTGATGATATTCCCTGCAAGTATGTCAATGGAGCTCTTATATGTGAGGTGAGGTAAAACTCAAAATTATAGAATACTATATTATTTTGCATATGTGGAGTACACCACTGTATATTTTCAAAGCACAGATTACTTCTAGAAATTAGCACTACACACATTCACTATAGTTTTGGGTCTTTACTTTGATTTCTAATTGCCATACAAATACATCAACAATAACAACAGCAGCAAGCCTTATTCCATTAAGTGGGGTTGGCTACATGAATTACATGATGTCATTCTACTTTATCATTTATTAAGTTTTTAGAAATATTTTTAATTAAAAGGTCTTGCACAACAACTTCCAAAAGTGTAGTCTTTGGCCTTTCTCTACCCTTCTTGATAGGGTTCAAAGTCATTTATTTCACTCTCCTCACATATGTCTCCTGTGATCTTCTTTGTACATGTTCAAATCATCTCAAACAATTTTCTATCATGTTTTCTTCAATAGCTGTGACACTCACTTTTTTCTATATTCACTTTTTTTGGATTTTGTCTTTATGTGTATATCTGCATATTTATCTCAACATTCTCATCTTTGCTACTCCAACTTTATGCTCTTGCTGTGCCGTTCCCAACATTCACTACCATATAATAATGCTGGTCTTATAACAGTTAGATAAAACTTTCCTTTAAATTTATTAGATACCTTATGATTGTAGATAATTCCTTTAGTTTTTTTCCAATTAAACCACCTAGCTTGTATTCTTTATATAATATCTCCATAAATTTTCCTTTTATGTTGAATAATTGCTTCCAAATATCTAAACTTTTCCACTTGAGGTATGATCTAATCACTCAATTTTACTTCCAAAGTGTTATTCACTGACCCCTTATCAAAATTACAATGTAGATATTCTGTTTTATTTCTACTTGGGCAAAAACTTTTTGACTCCAATGTCCTCTTTCATAATTCAAGTTTACAATTAATCTCTTTTCTTATTTTCGCAATAAGAACTCTATCATTCACGAAAAGCATGCATTTAGGAATTTTTTCTTGAATATGTGCAGTCAAAACATTTAAGACAAGATTAAACAAATAAGGACTCAAAGATGATCCTTAATGTAGTCCAATTTTTATAAGAAAGTTTTTTATTTCGCCACCAGACATTTTTATACTAATTGTTGCCTTCTAATACATGTCTTGTATAGCTCGAATATAGGCAACCCAGAAACCCTTCTTTTCCAATGCCTTCCAAAGTACTTTTCTCAGTACACGATCATAAGTTTTTGGCAAATCAATGAAAATCATATGTAAATTTTTACCTTTACATCAATACTTTTTCATTAATCTTCTTAGTAGATAAACCGCTTTTGTAATCGGCTTACATGGCATGAAGCCAAACTGATTCTTAAAAATATCAGTTTTCAACCTCAATCTATGCTCAATCACTTTTTCCCATAATTTCATAGGATGAGTTGTAAGTTTAATCCTTCTGTAATTAGCACAATCCTAAATATCTGCTTTATTTTTGTAAATAGGAACTAAGGTACTTCTCCTCCAATCGTCAGCATTCTTTTGGATTATAAGATCTCGTTAAATAACTTAGTTAACCATCACACTGTTTTTTCACCCAAACATTTTTACATTTTAATAGGGATACAATCAGGTTCATTAGCTCTACCATTTATCATTTCCCTAAGAGCTTCATTTACTTTCCAAGCTCGTATTCAATAAAATGATAAATTTTTTTTTTCTTTCAGGAGTTACTAAATCTTTCAAGTTAATTGATGAACTCCTGTCATTATTGAAAAGTTTAGAAAAGTATGTCTTCCATTTATCTTTAATATTACTATTTGTGACCAAAACATTTCCCTCTTTATCCTTTATACACCTTACTTGTTCTAAATCTCTTGATTTTCTTTTCTTACTCTTAGCAATTTTATAAATTTTTCATTCTTCATTGTTTTTCCCAAGACCATTATAAAACTTTTCAAATGCTTTAAAACGAGTTTCACTCACTGCCTTCTTGGTTTTCCTTTTAGCCATACAATAGATTTCCCAATTTTCATCATTATTGTACAAATAGATGGCTTTAAAACACTTATTCTTACACTTGATTTTTTCTTATACGCTATCATTCTACCACCAAGACTCCTTATCTCTTGGACCAAAATCTCTTGATTCTCTTAAAACTTCTTTTGCAACCTTCCTTACCTTCACAGCCAAATCTTCCCACAAGATGTTAGCACTTTCTCGAGACTCCCATATTCCTTGAGCCAAGAGATTTGTTTTGAAAATTTCTCGCTTTTCACCTTTTGATTGCCGCCACTTAATCCTTGGAGTTATTACTTATCAATGCTTTTAGTTTTTACTTATAATACACACATCAAGGACAAGGGTCTTATGTTGTGTCATTACAGCATACCGAAAAATTACTTTACTATTTTTACAAAGTCTTTTATCTGCGTTCTTTATAAAAAAAAAATCAATCTATGATCATAAAGCTCCACTTTTATAAGTGATGAAATGCTCATACCTCTTCTTGAAATAAGTATTGGCAATTTTGAAATCATACGCCAAAGAAAAATTAAGAATGGGTTGTCCTTCATTATTTATCTCCCCAAAACCTAAATTACCACACACCCTTGCATAATGACGTGCCTCCTTTTTGACATGACCGTTAAAGTCTCCTACAATAATGATCTTTTCATTATGTGGAATGCTTTAGATCAATCCCTCCAAGTCTTTCCAAAATAATTTTTTAAGATTGTCTTCTGTCCCGACTTAAGGTACATAAGCGCTAAAAATATTGATAGTCTCCCTTCCAATGCTCATTTTTAAGGGAATAATTATGTCTCCAATTCTTTTAACTTCTACCACATTCTTCTTTCATTCCTTATCAACAATAATAGCCACCCTATTGTGTGTGTTTACTTTCCTAGTATACCAGAGTTTGGAACCTTAGATATCCTTAGCTTATTCACCAGACCATCTATTTTCCTGCAAGCACAAGATATTAATTTTTTTTTTGAATCATAACTCCTATCACCTCCATAGATTTGTCCCAACATTCCAAATACCAAATTTGATATTGCTTATATAGACTAATTTCTTTAGCCACGCTTGTCTAGAATAATACAGTAGCCCTTACTCATTTAACACTACATTCAGGCGTCGATGTAGTGGCCCTAACTCACTTATCGTTGCACTTGAGCCATGTAGTGCGTTACTTACGAGCAATGACCTAGCATTAGCACAAAAATATCTATTGTCTATATCTATGTGAGATTCAACAAAGTTTTACATTGGTTGTTGAGGGCCTAACACAACCCTCCTCCTTTACTTGAGTTTGGGACCGGCTATAAAGCATAGGAAGAGTTGCCATACAAATAAATCAGATGAAAAGATTTATTTATCTATGTGTAATGTAAATTAACTTCTCCTTTTAGAAATGTTCAACTTCATCTTGAGGAATCTCATCTCATATTGGGGCATTAAGTAGTTCAAACATTGAAGTTAATCTTTTCAACTTCATCTTGAGGAATCTCATATCATACTAGGGCATTAAGGAGTTCAAACATTGAAGTTAATCTTATTATTGCTGTTAATAAGTTAATACCTTGCAGATTCGAGATTATCGTGATAGTTTGCCATATGAAGATGGTCACACTTCATCAACTGCAAATGTTCCAATTGTGCATAAGTTGACCCTTCAATTGTGCATGGAAAGTGTTGTCAAGGACATCTTGTCAGTCTTAAATGATTCCTGGACATACAAAGATCTTCTGGTAGGTGTACATTGAAAAATTTTAGCTTGTGTACTTTTCATCTAATGCATTGCATATCACTAGCCCTACAATAGTTTCTTGTTATATCATCAGGAAATTGAGTCATGCATCATCAAGGCTTTGCAGCCAGATCTTAATTTAAACCCAGAACCTTTAGGGGGCATGCTTTTTGGTGAACCTCGAAGAAAGAAGGTATTAATGGTTATATTATTCTTGTAACTTCTGAAAGATCTTTCCTTTGCGACGTTGCTAACAGAATTTTATATATAAGAAAGAAGTGTTTAAAACTTTTGCTTGCAAATGAGGTAGGATATAACTTTGAAAGTGTATCCTAACACTAGGTTATAGATTACCAAATTTAAAGTTCTAGCTTGAACTCTAAATTTGTTACGCATGATTAGTTTTTCACTACTATATTGATCAATTCTAACCATGCATGGCAGATTGATTTGGGTATAGCATGGAGTTGGAAGAAAAGAAAGCTAAGTGATGGGCCAATGCAAGGTTTGCCAATCAGAAACTCAAATGTTGTAAGCCATGCTCTGTGTGATTATCTCACCCAAAAGTACAAACCTCAATGTGCTCCTCTGGAAAAAGAAAAAAACACTTCTTGTAGCCAGGAAAATACCTCCAGCTGTTTCTATGACCCACAGGGAATAAATTCTGCTCTTGGTTGCTCGTCACCCTCACATGCCTTAATGTTTCCTCAGACACCTAATTTTGTTGATGTGCCCAATCAACCACTTACTAACGCTTATAACAGTATAGCTCTGGGAAATTCCATAGTTCCTTGTGAGAACAGCAGTGACGAACATTCTACCAAAGGAATGCCTAATAAAAAACCAAAACAAGAGCCAGTGGACCTGCCCAAACTCCAGCTTGTAGGAAGCCAAGTCAGCATTGCACCTCAAGGTCCTGAACTACAGCAGGTATGCAATGCACCGCAAGAGCAATTTAACGTTGTCAAAATTCCATGTGATAGCAAAAAGAGAAAATTCCATTCCCCTCAATCGACACATGATGACCAAATGATGCTTAAAGGAATTCAAAACCATCAGATCAGAGCTCCCTCTGTGAAACAGGAGCCTGCTAGAACAAGTGGCCTCCATTCTGATGATTTTCACATGGATAGTTACATTGGTCCATCTAATTTGTATAAATTAAAACAGCAATTCTTATCCAAGCCATTGACAGTTAATAGCGCTTCAATCCACTCATCCTGTCACATGGATCAGCCTTATGACAGATGTTTGAAGAATGGAAATGCTGCTCCGAAGAGGAAAGTTTCACAGAATTTGCAGGCTACAGCTGCAGATGGAAGTCTGTCAACTACCCAAAATAGCAATTCCTTGCAAAAAGCAGGACATAAAAACTCACGTTCTAGAGGTTTGAAAGCTGAAATGTCTGATTCAGTCATCAGCATTAGCAGCAGGAATCTGACTAGTGCAAATAGCCTGACTGTGAGAAACCCCTGTCCACCACAGCAATCAGTTGAAGTTAACAAAGCTGCTGACAGATTATTAAAAATTCTTAAAGTGTCTGAGAGGTAAAATCTTCATTTTATTCATGTGAAGTGTACAACTGATGTTTGAATATTTTTTGTTGCATGATAGCACTTTTATTTGGATTCAGGTATGGATTGATTAACAGGAAGCTCAAATTGGAGCAGTTTTTTCAAAAGAAGCCATCCTTCTTCCAGACTCCTCCTCTGGTTGGTGTTCACCTTGCAAGTCTTGAGAACAGTGGAAAGTCAGAAGACTCCATGGGATGTAAAATTTCTTCATCCAAGTATTCCAGTTACTGGGAAACTAGGACATTGATATTTTCCCATGAATATCATATCATTCAAAGTAAATGTCCATATTTTATCTTTTTTTTTTTATTAACTCAACTCCTTGAGTTCTGCTGAATCTCTGCTAGTCCTTTATCACAGGAAGTGACAGTCCAGTGGTTGGTAATGCAGCTCTGGTTAAACTGGTCATGTTGGAAAACCTAAACCTAGGAACAGTTGAAGTACACGTATACTATGGACGTGATGGAGATCATCCCATATCCATATCTCTCTTACCCACTTTTCCTAGTTCTGTGAGTCAAAACTCTTATCGTTCATCATCATCATCATCATCATTTTAATTTTATTATTTTCGTTTCAAACGTGAATTGAAATTGGGCTGATAAAATAATGACTTGTCAACCTAAGGTGTGAATAAATGTGCTGATTTACTCAAAATTAATGTACCTTTGAACTGATTGACCTCACCACGTTATAATGGGCCCTTGAACCTAGATGCCATGCTCATATAACTACAAGCTTCGTTTTCCCCCGTCATACACGTTTTATTTTGTATGACAAATATGGTTTTCCTTTTGAATTCAGTCACTGGATATACTTTCGATCACCATATTCATGATGCTTAGCTAGTCATTTTATTATGCCTTAGCCAGGGGTTCATGTTTCAAATCTTGATATACTTCCCTTCTCATCTTACAATTATCACTATTTTTCCTGTTTTTTTCCTGCTTCAAAATTGTATTCAGCGAAAGCAACTCTGCGTACACCAAAAAACCAACTTATGGATTGTATTTTACTAATCCTCTTAATGATGGGGAATGATCTGTATCTGTTTTTATGGGTCCTGGACCTATATCTCGTTACTTGAGGACTGAATTTGATATGCCCCGCATAAATTTAGTTCTCAAGATGAGCTGTTTGATACGTGTTTTAGTATTCTTCTGTTGTGTGATTATTGCAATAATTCCTGACATTTTTCTGCTTCATGATTGGGCAGTGTAAATAGGATTTTCTCATCGGGATTGACATTGTCTCTAACTACTGTACCCTAAAATCAAAATATCCTATGAATTTGATTAATTTGATTAATCTAGTTATGTTTGAATTTTATACAGCTGCGTTCTGCAAACCAGTTTGCTTGTCAGTTCATTTCATTGGTAAGTTGCATTATGTTTTGCTTTGAAAATTTTCTTCATCTTCTCTTTCTTATATACTTTGATGTAATGCTTTTGTTGGATATAGTTGATTCGTGAAGGGTACCGCATAATTAGTGATCAAGTTGGGTCCTTGCCTTGTGATGAAAATGGTGAATTAGGCATGAAAAAGCAGCCAATTGTCAGTAATTCCAATTTGACTTATAGCACAGTAAAACCTTCTGCAACTTGCTCTTCTTCACCTCCCTCGAGAAATTCGAGTAGTAGGATGCCATTCCAATTCCGTGTTGCTACGCAATCACCACAGCCGAACGCTCTTTCTGGAGTTAATGTCACTGCGGTTGGAAATAGTCTCTCCTCACCACAACTGATGCACAGTAATAGTTCATTTAAACTTCAAATTGACAATCTTCAACAGCAAATGAGGTCCATACAGCAATGGTGGCAACTGGGTGCAAATAAATTTTTGTGGTTGGAATATCAAATGCAGCTGCTGAAGCACCGGCAAGAACAGGAACTTATTTTAAGGACAGAATCCCCTGCTCAACTGGGTGCTGCTGCAAGCAGCCATGATGCATTACCATTAAATGGAGGCCAAAGGATCAGAAACATAGAATCTAGCTCTTATAGTCATATCACAGGCAACAATGGTTCAGGACCTGCATTCTCTGGGGGGCTTATGCAATGGATGAACAGTTTGAGCCCCTCTAACAATCCCCAGAATAATCATATATTGGGTTTGAATGATAAGCAGCTTTTTGGTGCACTTTCAGATGACAGATTTGCAGCTTTCCCAAAACTGAACACTAGCCAAGGTCAGAGTTTCATTGGTGGATTTCCAACCCTGAGAAATGCAAGCATGCTGTCAATTGCCAGAGCAGATGATCCTAACATGAGAAATATGTTCAGCAATCACAGAGAGCCCTGGGCCGAGGCAAGCCAGACATTGCATATGGACATTGGCTCAATGCCTGGGCCAAAAAAGATGGCTAGGTTGGCTGATCAGGTGGGATCATCTCTGCCTTCAGTCCCCTCACTGCATGATCATCTACCTCAATTGAGCACTCAGCAACTGAATCCTATTGGCATGCAACTTCGCAGCAGATGAACCATGGGAGCATATCAAGTTCTGGAAGTCCAGAGGTTAGTGCCTGGACACATGGGCCTGTAGGTAGTAGCAGTATCTAAGGAAGTTGGGCGTGATATTGTCAGAATGGTATTGGCTGCTGAAAGCTGGTTATAGACTTTGCATGTAGCATTTTAGATGGCCTTATTATTAGTGAACAACAAGGCTAGATATATACTTACATGTGGAGCAGCCATTTGACCATTTGGAGGTTTTGTCATTTTCATCGCATACAAGACATGGTGTCCGGTACTTGCTGCAATATACTCCTTGTGTATCACAAGATAGGCCATTGGCAATTACTTTACGTTTTTTGTTTAAATAGATGAAACTTTAGTCTCTTAAAAAATTTTATATTTTTTCAATTATATGATCATGAAATATTCTATATAAGTATTTTAATAGTGATAATTAAAATTTTAATGCATCATTTCTTTTAAAAAAAGAACAATAAATGAAGTAATGATATGATTGAAAAAATAATTATAAAAGATGTTCAATGTTTTATATTTTAATCCAGAATGAGAAATTATTATTATTATCACTAATGTACTTTCTCCATCCTAATTTATAAGATATTTTTTAATAAAATTATGTATTAATAAAATTTATTAAATATATTTTACAATTTTATTTTTAAAAATATAAATATAAATTTTTAAAAATACTTTTTATTTAATATATCCTTATTTGTGAAATATTAAAGAGAAAGAGAATATAATAAGAAGATAATGATAATACCATAACAAGTGTAGTTAATGAAATTTTAAATTTGTCAAAAAGTATTTTATATTTTAAGATATTAAATTATTTTTTAAAAATGTTTTATAAACCGTGATGGAGGGAGCATAATATATAAGTTATAGGAAGTTGTATTATTGTTAGCCATTAATAATAAGGTTTATCTAAGGCTTCCTACAAATCAAGTGATCAATAATTTAGTTTGTAAACATGTGCATCATTTATAATTATCTAGAATGTTCAGATTAAATTTAAATAATCTAAACATTTTCAAAAAATGTTAAAAAAATAAAAAAAATCTAAATCTGATATTTAATTTAGATTAGATTAAATTATATAGAAATGCAGGAAATCAATTTCCCTAAACCTAGTTCTCAATATTTTCACAAATCCAATCCTTAATTTTACTTTTTTTAAAAAAATAAACCCCATCCTTAAAATTTGAATGCGAGTTTAGTTGGGTTGGCACAGCAACAAAATCCAATGTGCACTCTTGGGCCCTACTTATAAAATTCAAAAACAAAAGAAAGAGCAGAGAGGCAAAAACCGAAAAGTAATTTGATCGAGCCCATTACAAACTCCACTTTTTTTTTTTTAACCAACGAGCCCATTGGAAACTCTAACCCAAACCACATCATTTATCTTTTATTAGGTTTTTTTTTGGTAGAATATTAGGTTAATTTTTCTTTTTTTCATGAAGTATATGTACAATTGTACATGGATGCCTCAGAATCTCACATAGTGCAAGGAAAAAAAGAAAAAAGAAAAAGAAAGCAAAAAAGAACTTTTTATTTTTCACCATCCAAAATGCATCCATGTCACCTATCTCATGCCAAAATTAGTAATCCTCAAGCACCTCAAATATTGAGGTTAATTAACATTTAGTGACATGTTAATGTTAGCTTTTAGGTAAACTTGTCTGTTAGCAACATAATTATATTTTATTATTGTTATTATCAATAGTATTTGAGATTTGTTATTCTACCAGTCTCATTTATAAGGTACATTTTAGATGATCCATTTAATGTTATTTATAAGTGATGGTGCAGTTTTTTAAGTAATATTTAAAAATTATTTTTAAAATTATTTTTTATAGGAGAGAAAAAATAACATGACATCACTTTTAAAATTTACTATATAGAGGTATATTTAAAATTTTATATTTTTATATTTTTTATTTTTTTATATTAATATTGATGAGAGTAATAAAAATAATTTATAAAGATAATCAAAGGATTATAATGCAGTTTTTTTCCCCCTTTTTCGGGGGTCGAGACAGACAGTTCACTGATACTAATGGTTTTACAAAGTTTGGTGTGCCTAATTTCCAAAGCATGTTGACTCTGCCGCTTCCATTTCGCATATTTTATATGTCTTTTTCTCTTGACCTTCTTGAACCTTCCTATAAATATATTATATTATATTATATGTTTATGTGAATGTCCAGACTCTAGATGATTAAATTTGCATTCGCAATCAAGAACGTGGGACCTATCTCCACAAATTCCACATTCTTAACAATTTTTAAGGCATCTTTTTCTATTTAGGTAAAGGCACCATGAAGTTCCTATTCTCAATTTTTTTTTTTCAATTCTTATCATTCAAATTATTTTGTTAAATAATTTTTTTTAAATAATAAAATTAATAAATAAGAGAAATGGGAGGAAAAGAAATGGAGAGACCTCAAATTCAAAATGAGATCCCTCTCTAGTTACTTTGACATTGGATGATAACACTTTTATAGTTGTAAGGAAAAAAATGATTAATAATGATGCTATTGGTGTTATTATTATTATTATTTTAAGAAAATGGGGCCAAGCCCATATAATATTATTCACTAATACATAAGATGAGGGAGCTATTTCTTTTACTATAACAAGGGTAAGCTAATTTAACTTTTGCTCGAAGGTTCAGTGATGAATGGATTTTTTTGAGCATATTTAAAAAGTGTAATATCTTACAAAAATGTTCATAATAAATATTTGATTTTAAATAGTTTAGAAATACTTGAGCATTTTAAATTATTTTTATTTCAAAATATAAAATAATATTAATTTAATGGACTTATTTTTCTTGCAAAATATCTGAGTTTTAGGCTCTATTTAAATGAAAAGAAATATGAGAGGAAAGAAAAATATGAGAGAAAAAAAAGAAAAAAATAAATTTAAGTATAATTTTATATATATTCTCTTCGTTAAAAAATATAAAACACTTTTACTTAAATTATATTTAAATAAATTAGTTAATTATTTTTGAATTGACGTCATCTTTTATATTTATTCTCATTTAATAAGTTGTCTCAGTTAAAGATGAATCGGTAAGTGATTATTCATTAAGAATGTTTCTTAATAAAAAAAATTCATTTATTATATATTAAAAATTTAAAAATGCCAATTTTTTTTTTAAGGAATGAAAGAGAAATTAATTTATAATAATTTGGAGATGATGCACGATAAGAATAAATAATGATGATAATAATAAATGGTTGTGGGGTTGTGAGGTTGGAAAGCAGGGCCCTTTGTTGTGTGGCTGTGATTGTGTTTCACTAGTCGTTGAAGCTTAGTTCAGTTCCGGATCCTTCTATTCACTTTCAGGCACGCTTTTGCCTCATGCTTCACACAACCCACATGCTTGGTTGCTTCTGTTACTGTTGCTGTTTTTGTTTTTAACTCGAATTGTCAGGAACTCTCTAGTTCCTACATTTGCTATAACAAAAGCCATGTAATTGGGGGAAAAAAAACTAATTGATAAATTGACTCTAAAATATAAGTCTTGTAATATTTTAAATTTTAAAGTCACTTTTTTAATATAATATTTTACTTTAACTTTTAATCTTTTAAAAATGATACCATATTATATTTATTATTAATAAAAATTAATTTTGTTAATGACAAGTTGCTTTAATAGCAATGCCACCTCTTTGCGGCTGTGAAGTTTAGGGTTTATACCCTGTTTTGGCACGTGAGTGTGTGAGTTGTGCGTTTAAATTAATTATTAAAAAAAATTAATTTTAATCATTAATTAATTAAAAATGATGAAAAAGACATAAAAATTAGAGGAAATGACAAAAAGTTACAGAAAACACTTTAGAAAAAATATATACATAGGTTCCTATAGTTTTATTTAATTTTAAATTAAATCCTTGCAGTTTATTTTATTTTAATTGAGAATCAATTAAAATTTTTAATCCTAAAGATTAAAATCCTTAAATTTTTTTGGCAAAAAAATGGTTAAATTTTTTCTTTAAAAAAATTTAGAACTTTTATATTTTTATTAAATAATTATATAACTTTTGAATTAATTATATAATTTTATAACTTAAAATTTATATAATTAGGTTGTCTTCCAGATATTTTTTATACATTTATAATTTTCATTAAAAAATTTAAAAAAATGTAAACAGCGTACTAAATCAATTTTTTTGTTATTTTGGCTAAAAGTATTGAGTTAAATTTTTTGTAAACTCCAAAAGTATTTTTTTATAAAATTTAATAATTTATTATTAATTTTAACCTTTGGGGTTAATATTTATAATAGATTAAACTATAAGGATTTGATTAAAATAAAATAAACTAGAGTGACCTAATTTAAAATTGAACAAAACTATAGTGACCTATAGATTAATTTTTTCACAATTTTAATTGGTCATTTTTTGTAATTCTTGAATCCCTTTGCTCTAATATTTTTGGTCAAATAACAGTCAAATTTAATATTTATTAATGGTAAGAGCAAATTGAATCATTTTAAAATGTTGAAAAGGAATATTACACAAAAAATAAATTCAAAGTCCTAAACACTTCTAAACTTATAATTTATGTGATAATTTACCATTTAACCCATGAAAAAAATTGACCACCTTAGGGTATACTATATTAGGTGGATTTGGTTTCTCTCACTTGAGTTGAGACGTTACTATAATTCTGAACTGTTAAATTTAAATCGAGTGGAGAGGTTACTATAATTCTAAACTGTTAAGTTAAATTTAAGAATTTAAATTTGATAAAGTTTTAAAAGTATAAATTAATTTGTATTATTAAAATTTGATTTGAATAATTCAGAGTTGCAGTAGAGATGTAATGGAAAAAAAATTACTGTGAAAAGCAATAATTTTCCTTTCAATATCATTGGCCGCGCTAACAATCCAAGTGACACATTCAGTCGCCTCACAAAATAAAGGGTTTTGGCGTTTTGCCATAGATTCATTTCATTGGCCTCTTTTCTCCCCTTTTCTTTCTTTTTGTTGCTTTCCTAAGTTCATTTAGTACTTTCAGACACTGAAATAGGATTCCTTAATTAGTGCATAGCAAACCTCCTTTCAAAGCAACCTTTTTTTTTTTTTTGCCTACTTATTAAAAAAAGAATAAATTCTTTCTTTCCAAAGAAGCTTGAAATTGCACGCAACCTAAATTCGTCAGCTTTAATGGTGCCAACCCTTGTATTAGGACATGTTCCTTTAGTTATAATTCATTGAACTCATCCATTGATATTTTGTAAGACTACAAAATATTTAAAGTTTAGATAAAATTAGTGAAATGATCTAAACCAAACACTTTTTTTTTTC